TTAATTAATAATAAATTTACCATGAGTAACATACATTATAAAATAAAAAGTTGAATTCTTATTTACCTTTCGATATGCATCACAGACCAATATCATTTCCTGTAATAATTTTCCATCTGCCGTAGTTTTCGGTACTATTTCCCAAAATATTAAAAGCAATTTTTTAATCGTATGATCTTGTAATGGTAAGACAAAACGGATTATTATCATCAACAATCCTGGCAAACGTTCTCCATTGGCAATCATATGAATGACTTTTTTCAATGCTTCGATTTTTGTTTTGCTATCACCTTTTTCTATACACATGCCAAAATTAAATATCATTAATAAGAATGATTTAATATACAAACATGACGGTTGATTAATAGTTAATACTAACCAAGATCTGACTTGAGTTGCATTTCATTTGGCATCTCATAGTCGCTAGAGATATTGATCAAAGTATAACAAGGCTGTTCTACAGTTGACATTATGACTGAAAAATAAAACTGTCCACAAGCAAAATACAATCCAAACAGTTACCTAAATGGAAACGTTGACATTCGAAAAAGTAAAAAAATAATAAAAATAAGTATAAATCACTATTGTTGTATAATGAACATAATAATAGTTACAGTAAAATCCAATATTGTTTTATTATGATAACACGTCATAATATGATACGATACATACTATGAACATATACCATGGTTTTGGTAAGCACTGATGCTTTTACCGGCCGGCGGCAATAATTCATATTTAAACGTAAGCACACACGTTATAATAAGAATATTATTATTATTCGAATAGATGATATCAATTTTTAATTTATTTTACATAAATTCGAAATTTTCCTCTTGAATAACGTGTGGCATAATAATAGTTTGAATTTGAAATATTTACTAAAAATACTCAGTTCTTATTCAATCAATCTGTACGTAAAAATTATGAAAGTCACTATACGTCGACATATTTTTTCATATAATTGTATCAATTTTTAACAGTTACGATGTAACAGCCTGTACCATGTACACTTTATAATTACTTTAAGTTCCCATCAAGTTAAAGCCCAGAGGCCCAGAGCTTATTTGTACTTATATGTAAATATGAATAAATAATAATAATCTACGCAATTTTAATATTTGTATGATCAAAAAATTATATTGGTATAACCAAATATCTGAATTGATATTGTTTCCTAAAATTGAATCAGCAGAACTTGAGTTAACAGTGTTAATTTAATAAATCGTCTGAGTCAAACTGTTAATCATCAAATACTAATCATTATTGTATAGTAGTACACAACATTAATAACCTCGCAACTAGTCACAACTAATAGAATAAAAAATAATAGTCATTGTGGGCAATATTGTTATTAATCATAATTTTAATATGATTAAAAATACAATAAAATATTTTATTATGCATTTTCATAATTTCTATAAATACCTATCTCTGAAGTAGCGTTACTGAGGGCTTCTTTCACTCGAGCCATATCAAGCCATGTAAATTGTATCATATGTATTACTTATTATATATTTTTTTTCATACAGGTTGTAAATATCTACTTTACAAAAATAAAAAATGAAAAAAAAATACCCATCTATTAAAGTATTTATAAAATAGTAGGTATCTATGGTAAATATTGCTCAAAATACAACATCACATTATATATAAAGTTTTGTACATATAAGCTACTGAGTATTAAAATTCTTTCCCTTAGACTTACAAATATTAAATTTAATAACGTATTACTTCATACTTGTTCAATTATTTCATATACCTACCTATAGGTAAATACTATGGCCGATTGGCATACACCGACACAGGTACAAAGAGCGCTAACAACCATGTGGGCGAAACTTGAAAAGTCTACTGTACCATTAAAGGTATTTTAAAATCATAGTCCAAATCATCAATTTTTTAATAAATGTTACAAAATACAACATAGAGGCGGATCCGAACCTCTTTTTCAGTAGGTGCTTACAGATATTAAAATAACCATTTATTTAAATAATAGTATATTTATTTATTTTCATAATTAGGTAAATATATGACAAAATGGACAGAAAAAAATATATATAAACAAGAAGAATATAAACTCTAATACATTATTTACCATTTTAAACAATATGATTAATATTTGATGTATTCGAGATTCACAGACTATTTATTTACATGTGATTTAGGACATATCGGAAGAAAATCTAATAAACTACTTTGGTATTAAGAAACCGGTCGTACAACAACTGCAGTACGAATTGCTTTTTAACTCAAATAAGTCATTCGATCCGAAATCAAAAGCAGATAGTTGGAGAAGTCAAAAAGATATACGTGACAATATTTACAGAGAAGTATAAATTAATATATTTGTGACATAAAACTCCTATAAGAAGACATGACGTATTGAAACAGTAAATTTAAATATTCGTTGTGTTTTATGATTTTATTGTAGGAAGACCAACGTACAATTCCTGTGGTGACATCACATTGTATTGGTCATCGACTCAAAAACCTGAAAGGACGATTGTTAAATAACTACATATGTAAGGAGGAAAATAACAAATAAAAAAATAAAATATTTTAAAATAACAGTTTATTTCTTACGTATATACTCATGTTTGGTAGGCACTTTAACATAGATGATGATTAAAAATAATACAAATAATAAAATTACTAAAAATGTAAATGTCTTTATTGTATATATATTTCAAAAAGCATGGAAATATTTTGAAAATCTCAAGTATCTACAGTTATTACTTAATTGACTTTAAATTACGCTAAAAAACAAAATCGGTTTTGTCAAACATAGTATTTTTTTAGTAAAATGATAAAAAAAATTTTTAAAAAACGTATATGTATACATTATTATTTGAACGACCTTCTTAAGGCTACAAAAAGAGTCGGTCACAAATCAGGCTTGAAGGATACGTCATAAATCATCACGTTATGTTTTCCTATACACACACACTATATTATATTACAAAGTCGTCCACAATTCACCGCGACAATAGACGAACTCTATACATTGCATGTAAATATCTACATATCTTTGATCTATATAGGTACTCGTAAAATATATGTGTTCTATGGACGATTTGGATCCATGTACATAATAACCTTCAGATAACAATGGAAAGTTTTTGTAAAAAAAATAACCATACAATATCTTTATTATTTTTATGAAACGGGAACTATATTCCGTATTAATACATAATATAAAAATATATTATAGATTAGCGGCTCTCAATCTTTTTATCTTTTTAATATTTCAGTACAGATCGAGTATTATAAATTTTGAAAATTTTCACGTATCAATTAAAAAAAAACCCGTATTATAATTAATTACCGATTAATTGCCAGCGATAATCTAATGATTCTAATGAATATATCTCATAGTACATGGGCGTAGCTAGGATTTTAATCAGGGGGAGGGGGGCAGTTGATAATTTTTTTTTTTGCATTTTCGATTTTATAATAAAACTTATACGTTTGATATAAGAAACAGAATTTGGTTTGAAACGAAGGGGGTGTAATTGCCTCCTACCCCACTCTCGCTACACTCATGTCTTAATATAATTTGGTAGTGAAAAAAGACAAGTAATAAGAGTCTCTCTATTATTATCGTAGACTATAGCGTTTGATAAATAATTCAAATTTTTATCCACAATATAAAAGTATATGGTATAGCTTAGATATAGCTTTCCGCTTACATTCAGTCGAGAGCCACTGTTTAACCTTATTTATACTGGGTATTATTTATTATTATGAAGTTGAATAATATGTTTAAATTAAAATTGTAGCATTGTTTAAAAAGAAAACAACTTTAAAAAAATAACGATGAAAAGTAAATTTAATATTTTTTTAGTTAATGTATGTTTATTGCTCAATGAATCTTCTTGTATAGATTGTATATATAATGGTGCGACTTAAACTTACATAATATTTTGTATGTCAAATAGTTATTGACAGTCATTTTAATTATAGTTAGGACGCGTATAGTGTATAGTATAACATTCTATGTTCTATATAAACTATAGTCACATAATAATATTTAGACATTTTGATCACTAAATGTCATGTTATCATTGTATAATATTAATTTTATACCTATATATACATTTGTATATAAAAAACTTTCGGTACACTCTAAGTTCTTACCACTCTTACCATTAGAACGTTTTAACTCAAAAATACAATTACATCATAGGTACATGTTTATAGACATGCGCCTACTATATAATAGTAAGTAGTTATAGGTACCTACATTATAATTTTATAGTATTTTATAACTCATAGAACATAAATTAATTATATTTTAATCACCTATATTATGGTTGTACGTATCGTGTGAGGACATAAATAAAGCCTTTTATCTAAGTAGGTAACTATAGTAAGTAAATTGCGAATAATAAGTACATAAATAATTTTAGAAATTTAATGTAAAAAGACTAAAAATCCGAAAATGCTTACTCCATGAACCACGCGATCGTCCATTATAAATTACCAACTTGACGAGCATTGTACAATAGTCACTGGGTAGTATGTTATAAGTTATAAGTTATAATTATTATATAATAAGTAATTAATAACTAATACAGTATGTCCATCGTCGTTTGTTTGTCTCTGGCCTCTGCAGTTCTGCAAGACCATGCATTGTTTTGAACCTAAACAAGAACATTGTTATAAAAAAATACTTGCATTATATAAACCTATAAATTTTTTTTTTATTTTACTCTATTACACATGTTGCAAAGTAGTCTTAAGGTCGTTTTTAGAAATTGTTCATAATTTTCACACACAACGGCTATGGTAAGACTATATCATAGTGACATAGTGTATAACAATCGATAGTAATATTTCATGTTAACAATGGAACCTTTTAACCCGAAAGCAATCGGCCTGTTATATAAGAAAGTAGGGGTGGCTGAAATAACACCTCGCCCCTTAGGGTGATTTGATTTCCCACCATATATTACATAGAACTCAAGGTATAAATATGACAGTTGATTACGCACAGACTCAATGTAATATTATCTGCAGACTAAAATTCCATATATCAACAACCCAGAACAATCTACAACAACGCTCCAACGATACGATAATTTGTTCAGACTACCTTTGATTATACATACTAGCTATACCGCCATATCATGCAGAATTTTAAGGTGAGTTGCACTTATAATACATAACTTGATATTTATATTATATACAAACATATTGTTAATAAAAAAAATTATGGACACTTTAAGTTAACAAAATATGAAATAAATATTTAATAGGATTAATACTTAAAAGTGCACAGTTAGTAGTTACCTAAGGACTGAAACAGATTTGGTAAACTACATAATAGGTATCGTATAGAAAAGATTTCTAGTGCATATTATGAAGTATTATGTATTTCAGTATTTTTATACATCTATTTAGTGTTACGTATATATATACACATAATTTTATAAATAATATCTCTGCGACCAGCGTGAAATAATGGTCGAATAAATTTCTATTCATTCACAATCGTAAAATAAATTCAGATAGTAGGTTTGAAAAAAAAAAACCAAATGAAATATTTAGATATTATTGAATGATTAATAATTTTCAAACTACGATAAAATTACTAAAATCGTTATTTTACGTTTGGCTATATACCCATACGGACGGCTGTGCATATGACTACGGATGCAACACGATTGCGAACGTTTTATTTTTTAAATAACACGATTGCGACAAATGTCGCTTATCAAAGAATTTGTTTTTTTAGCCGAAAAAACAAACGATTGCGAACGTTTTTATAGGCTACGTTGCCAAGTTCATAATTTCTGAATATATTTTATTTTGTTCGGGAATTCAATTAGAACATTTTTTTTTTCAAATGAAAACTATTCGATATTAATAATACAATGTTACATTATAATAACGTTACAAACTAAAATAAAATTATATGAAATTATACGAAGTGCTTAAAATTTTAATTAATCAAATAATTTCGGAGTAAATATTAATAATAATGTTACATAATGTATATAATACGTTAGCAAATTAAAAAAAAGCCTATATAAAAAAAATTAAAAAATAATAGTTTTTTTCTATATTTTTATTTTAAATTTTAGATTTATCTTTTTTAGCCATAGGGTTATGTAAAAATTTTTGAATATAATTTAATACTTTTTATTGTCATGGTTTGTACTTGTGTTTGTTTCAAAATTGGTATCACTACGTGTGTTGGAGGATGGAGATTATAAAACTGACCATTGTACGTCCTATGAAAGCCTCTCTGGGTCATTGGTAGTTCTAAAACATATTTATAAAAACTTAGGGATTTTGTATTTACTGTTAAAATGTACGTAGGTAGAAACAAGAATTTAAGCTAAACATTTTTAAAATCATACCTTGGATTTACTAGGGAGTTCTTGTGCCCAAAAATACGGTGGAGATAATACATCAGGTGCAATATATGTCGATAGTAAATAATCAGTAAATACATGACCTTCTTCAAAGCTGGGACATTCGACTATTAATGTTGAACACGTATCTTTAATTTCATCATTGGGTAAAAACGGTAAGCCGAAAAATAATTTTAGCCATTGACCTATAATTCATTGTATGCATTTCTCAAATTCGTATCTCCATTAATTTGTAGATATTTTATTTTATTAAAAAAATGCGTAAAGGGTAAAGTCCAGTATATTTCATAAATTAATTTATAAACAAGATTAGATTTTAAACATTATATTTCTCCACCAAGTTTGTCCTAAATAGAAACGGCATGTTACAATTATTACGTTCGGAAATATATTTTCTTTTGCAGCTTTATGAGCACCAGATTAAAAATCCAAATGAATTTTTTGAACATCGAAAATTGATGTAAAAAATTTTTGACACAGTTCCAAAAGGTATTTCTACATATTGAAATAAGTTTATTTTGTTTTATTTGCAAAAAAAAAATATATACAATAGGCACATAAAAACCATTTGTGTAAGAATGTATGGTATAAAGTTGTAAAAAAATTTTGGTGCGTACCATCTCAAAAAAACTTATTTTGTGTTGTCATAAATTTTAAATTTTCCTTTGTAGTTATACAAACAAATTCATCATTTTCCGCCTTTCCGGTACAAAGACAAATTTATCTCCATTAAATAAACAAAATTCATTTTCCACTAGTTTCAGTTGAGAAGTTGCTTCGTTGAAAGATGTGGAAAATATAGGATACATTTTTCGTCGCTTATCATACATCGCCTTACGCACAGATTGTATATCACTGTGTTTTATATTTGTCGGATTATCTTTAATCAATTCATTTCGTATAATTTTTAATGGCCTGGTAGAAATATTATCATAGGCTTTTTTTTTGCAATTCTCTCTCAAGATGTGTCGTTCAATTTTTTGCCGACTGTTAACTAAATGATTATGCTCGCCCGTTGACTGATGTAGAGAGGTCTTGTCTGTAGTTGTTACAATACTTGCAGTGCAATTTTTGTCTGTACAGACCCATTTGATATATCCATCTTTACGCTTTCTAACGAAACAGTATTTAAAATTATCTAAGAGAACTAATTCCTTGCCTTTTTTCGGACATTATTATTTGAATTTCCATATTGAAGAGAACGATACGAAACAAATACGACACGAACGAATCACAAATAATACAGCACGACTTAACAACTATACCTACGAATCGAGCACCGTTTTTCATCAAATTAATATGGATTACATAATATTATAGATAAATATGTTAGTATACATTCTACATCGGGTGCAACACGATTGCGAACATTTTACCTTTTTTATAACACAATTGCAAACGAATGTTGCTTATCAAAAAATTTGTTTTTTTTAGCCGAAAAAACGAACGATTGCGAACGTTTTTATAGGCTACGTTGCCAAGTTCATAATTTCTGAATATGTTTTATTTTGTTCGGAAATTCAATTAAATTTTTTTTTTAAGAAAAACTATTCGATATTAATAATACAATGTTAAATTATAACTACGTCACAAACTAAAATAAAACAATATGAAGTGCTTAAAATATTAATTAATTTAAACAATTTCGGAGTACCTATATAAATAGGTATTAATAATACTGTTACACAATGTATATAAACTGAAAAAAAAATAATAAACACTGTTATCGATCATAAGTTATGCATTATAAATAAGTTAAAAAACGAATTTGTGTTTGTGTGTTCGATGTATACAGGTGTTGAACGTGCTGCAGTGCTTCGTCATCGCGACCGCGTTAATAACGTTGTCCGCGGCGGCGGACGAGCCGGCGGCCGAACCGTCGCTCTACTCGGCCGCGTACTTGCCGCCGAAACCAGTGGTCGCGGTCGGCGGCCCAGTCCACTACGGCAGCCCGTACGACGGCGCCGTGGCCAGCACGTCGACAAGCGTGTTCCGGACGCCCGGCCACCCGGGACAGGTGTCCGCGGTGCACAAAACCGTCGAAACGCCGTACTCGTCCGCGCACAAGGCGGACGTCCGGTATACCAACGACGTGCAACTGCCGTATCACTACCAACCGACCGCGGCCGTCCCGTACGGCTACGGCCCGGCTCCCGCCGTTCCTTACGGTTACGGCCCGGCTGCCGCCGTTCCTTACGGCCACGGACCGGTCGCCGCCGTCCCGTACGGCCACGGACCGGTCACTGCCGTCCCTTACGGTCACGGACCGATCGCTGCGGTCCCTTACGGCCACGGACCGGTCGCCGCCGTCCCTTACGGTCACGGACCGGTCGCTGCGGTCCCTTACGGCCACGGACCGGTCGCCGCCCCGTACGGCTACGGGCCGACCGCCGGTGCCGTCGTGACTCCACCGCATTCTGTCTCGCACACCAGTTTCTCCGGACCGTACGGAACCCACTACTCGTACAGACGGTGATTTGGACGATTCGCACAACGATCACGTCGCGGCCGGGATGTAATGAGTGATGAGAACTTAACATATGACAGTGATTGTGCCGACGTCCTTATAATGATTTAAGCAAATTATTTATTTTGTAAACGCCATGAAAAAATTATGTCAAAATATATTTGAAAAAATAACATTACACGAATTGGAATTTTTTAGAACGATAACGTCGCGATTATAGCGAGTGGACGATACCTACTGCAAGCGTTGTAACGAATCGTCACGACTGTCAACCGCGAGCCGAAAGTCTATAAAATTAACGGACATAGTCGCCCGTTTATTATCCGTAAGAGTTGATTTTTCGATTCATTACATTAATGCGAATTCGCTGTCCGCAGCAACCCCCCCACGTCAATTATTGCAGGGAGCCAATTCGCCGCTCCGAAATCGGGTGACAGACACAAAACGTACCTATCATGATCTAAAAAAACATAAAATTTTAATCATTGTTTAACCAACATAATAATATAATGAGTAATGACGTATAATGTAAAAATATTCCTCGTTCCGCTTACAATTTAAAAAATTAAAACCGAGAGTGATCTTACACGACATATTATACTGTGATATTTGACTGATGACGAAAGTCGAAACGTGCAGAGTTTACTCATAAGTTATAACTCATATAGGTACATAATACTATATTTAATTACCATGTGTAATAACCGGATGCCGGCCGGCTAGTGGCTACTATTTAATCACCTATAATCTATATACATTATACGTGTTATTTGAACGATTGTCTACACTTTATGAGGTCAGCCGTGTAAAACCCGGTATAAGCACGGTGCTTGAATTAGACAAAAATGTAGAAAGAGAATGCAAAAAGTTAAAACAAAAAAAAAAAAACCTGACCTTGTTTTATTGATCCGAGTATCTGTATAAGAATAAAATCAAAAGGGGTAAATATTTTATTATTTATTTATTTTTATTTTATGAGAGAGTACAGGGACTACATCGTCCCATATCCATCTTCAAGTCTATATATATACCAGAATATATTAGACTATGCGCACATACTAAAATGAAACGTCAAATTTTGTACCCTAACCTAACAGGTAAACCTAATAAAGTATGTAATGCAGAAAAATTGTTGAATCAACGCTCACACTATGTCATCAATAACAGTAAAGGTTTCCTATAATTTATAATACCAGATATCGATATGTACATAGTACATTGTACACACGATATAAGAAACAATGTTGATTTAAGATTAAGATAACATATTATAATTTATACCATGGTATTATTGAAACAGTCAAATGACTTTTAATTTTAATGTTTACAGAGCATATAGTTATATATATATATATATATATATATATTATACATACATGATTTAAGCACTTATAAAATGTAAGTGTGTTGACGTGTTTCTTAACACTGTACAAAGAATTATCTTTCGAAATGAAGATAGGTTACCGATTTTATTATAGTAATAATTCAGGTGGATCGAATAATAATATGTTGGGTCACATCTATGAATTGTATAGCTTACATAATAATACATGCGCCACATTTTCTAATAATATATAAAATAACCATAACCTGCTAACTTTTACATAATTAGTTATATTTAGTATTTTCTTTAATAAATACTATGCGGTTTATAAAAATGATATATTGTTTTGCCTACATTGTAATTTTACTGACGCTAATAACATTTTTAATGAATTTTAATTTCATACCAACTGGATTTGTACATAGGTATGTATGTATAAGTTATATAAACTATAAATACTTAATGCCATGTTTAAATCATAATTCAAGTTTTCGTGTTATTACATACCTAAATTTCAAATGCGTAAAGTATACACTTTGTATAGATTATATAATTCAAATAAACAATAAAAAAATTTAAATTAATCATGATACTTGTGATAACATTATTATGTTTTTTAGTCCATATTCCTATAATAATAAAACATTACCAAACACATTAGTATAATTATATTTAGGTTTAAATTGTGTTATATTTTTTTCATGTATTATAATATTAGACACCTAGTCATTTTAATAAAATTATGTCTGCAGAACACAGACTGTAAATTATAGTAGGTAATCCATGAATGAATTAATATTTTAGAGTTAAGGAACTAATAAATTACGTGTGTATTCCATATGGTTAACAAGTTATACCGTAATATAAAAATAATTGAAACTTGAAAGTATCCAACAATTTCACGTTTTCACTTTTCGCCATGTCACGATACCGTGCTAATACTATCGTTGTCGCCCTAGAAAAATCATACTTGGTATCCTATTCCGCGTGCCATTTGGTATAACATTAATTCCAGGGAAGCCGAGATTTTACATGGGTAATGAAAAAGTTAATTTTTCGAAATTATATAATATAAATATATATATTTAAAATAAATGTATAAAAAATAAAAAATAAATAAATATTAATTAATAACAAAAAATATATTAATGTAACTTTTCAAATTGAAGGGTCCGGTGCAATAACAAGGTATCTCCACTTTTTTTCGAAATGCATGTTTTAACATATTCTAATAGTGGAAAAATTTGTCTACATTTCGGTGCAATAACGATATATCTCCGACTATTAAATACGCTAATATCATACAAAAGGAGATATCTGGTTTTAAATGTTCTGGGCAAGAACCAGGTATCTCCGGAGATACCTTGTTTATGCTCAGAAAGATGGCAACACTTTTATTACTTTTAATTTATTAATTAAGTATTAATTTTTATGTTTTTATGTACGCAAATATTTGGTGTCAACTAATACCACATTATAAGATTTTAATATTATGTTTCAACTGTTAAAAGGATTATTATTATGTTTATGTTTTATTTGTTTTTATACATGCTCAAGGTGTTATGTTATTTTCAATTTGTTTCTTTTTGATTTATTATATTATGTTGTGAGTAACAACAAACACATTTTTATCATTTTAAGATATATTTTCTATTTATTTATTATGTGCTCATTAATAGGTACTAATATGCTCATGATTATATTCTAAAATGAAATATCCTACCAAAGTAGTTTTTTTTTTAAGTATTTTTTTAGTCGTAAAGGATATCAAAGCTACATTAATGAATGCATAGACCAAAGTTTTACTTATATTTTGGGTCAAAAAAACCAGGTATCTCCTTAAAACACATAGTTACTCAATTTAATCATTATAAAAGGTTGTGATAGGTTGGATGATTTTGATTATAGGTATAAATTACACATTATAAATGTTTTTTGAGATTATTCAATACATATGATGAAAGAATTTCTGAGATAAAAAAAAAACAAAAAACATGGATTTTAATTTTGGGGTAAGAACCCATATATCTCCACTAAATTAAACTTGAATTAATTAATTAAAATTATTCAAATTTATTTAAAAGTAATAAGGCTTTATGGAATGTTATATATACATCCAAAGCATAAAAATCAGTTTTGGAAACAGTAACATGATGAAAGGTGGGTCAGTAAAAACATTTTTTATGTCTCCTGAACAATTTCAAAAAGTGGAGATACCTTGTTATTGCACCGGACCCTTCAATTGGTACCCCAAAAATGTCGATAACTTTAGAGTCCTAGAGAAAGAGAACTTTACCCCTTCCCCCATCTATACAGCCCTACAGTGTGATTAAGTGGTTATTATTAACTAGTGAAATCATCTTACTTATATAATATTGATTTGATAAATAATATTAAAATACCAAAAACGAATTAGATGATTTACATATCAGGGGTCACCAAATTATATTCTATACTATAGATTACTAATAAACAAAAGAATTATTCTTTGAAAAGTTTCTGAAATATTTTAAAAGTTCTCTAAGTAGACTTTAAAAGCATTCTGAAAAAATACATAATAATGATTATATTTCAAAAACATTAAATGTTGTTTGGATGACTTACATGATTACAATTTAAATAGTAGGTACTTCATAGAAATCCGTTTAGTAAGTATTCAATCAACTCTTAAAATACTTATGATAGTTAATACTTAATTCTATCAAATATTGTCAATAGGTAAATAAAATTATTAAAACACGAAAATAACTATATTTTTTATTTTTTATTTTTTTTTTTTTTTGATATTAGGTGAATAAAAAAAATATTTAAAAACAATTATAAGTTTTTTTCAGGACAATCATTGAATCAAATTCACCACAACCTGCAACGGCAACAGAGAAGAAACGCATATTTTTTTTGAAAACACATAAATGTGCTAGCTCTACTGTTCAAAATATACTAATGCGTTTTGGTCATATGGAAAACCTTGATATTTTATTACCAACTATGAATAATTACATAGGAAATCCTATGCATTTTAACACCAGTATGGTAAATAATAAATATTCCACTGTAGATGGCAAATTTGACATGTTTGTCCATCATACCAGATATTCCCAAGAAGTAAAATCCGTTATGAGATCAGGTACAATTTATGTCACTATTCTTCGGGAACCCACAGCATTGTTTCAATCATTGTACTCGTTCTACCATTTTGATAAAAAATATAAATGTAATTTAACTGAGTTTATCACCAATAGGCTTTCAAACAAATCATCTGCAAACCACATAAAACGTTACAATAATAAATTAGGAATAAATCAAATGAATTGGGACTTGGGAATGGTTTCAGACAATTTTGAAAACATTGATATGATAAATAAACATATAAATATGATTGAAAGAGATTTTGATTTTGTAATGATATTTGAATATTTAGATGCATCTCTTGTCTTACTTGCACATTTCATGCAGTGGCCATTAGAGAAAATGGCATACTTACCAATCAACAGCAGAAAAAGTACATATAAACAAATATTATCAAATGATGATGTTGATCGATTACAACAAATCAATATGGCGGATAGTATGCTGTACAAACGGTTTTTACTGAAATTTAAAGAAATAATAAGCAAATATGGAGTAGAAAAACTAAAAAAAGGAATTCAACGTTTAATGGTCATAAATCAAGAAATCTTAGAAATGTGTGTACAATCTGTGGCAAATAAAGGTTATGCTAGAACAATCTCATATGAATTAAAAGCAAATACAAATGCAACATGCAAATATATTGCAATGAATGAATTGAAATACACATCATATCTAAGGGAAATACAATACGAGAAACAGAAGAAATACAATGAATTGGACAAATTAATGAATAATAATTAAATATTATAAAATATATTATCATACAAATTGAAAAAAATTGTTTAATTACAAATATATCTTTATATATATATATATATATATGAGATAAATATATTTAGTAGAGTTAAAAACTCACAAATTATTGAATGCGTTTATTCTTACACTAATATTTTAATCCATTATTAAATCACTATAAGCTAGATCCCAATAATGTTCCACTCCATGTTTTTTCAATTGTTCACGAGCCAACTTTTCAGAAGCACATACTTTAAACTTTATTTCTCCAAAATTACGTTGCTTAGACATACCCTGAAATTAAATCACAAAATACAAAATTAATTAATACCATTTCTGAAAGTATATAGTTTAAATTATAACAAAAATTGTGAAGAAAAGAATTAAGTTTCTTTAATAAGAATATTATTAATTTACATACAGCATTAAATCAGAATTTTTCAAATTAAGAAAAAAGTGTTCATAATATTTTCTTATCTTATAAAATAATTCAATGAAAAAATATTTAATTCTATTCATTTAGTTAAGAACAATAACTGTTGAATCACAAAAATACTGTTATAATAGTTGTGTAATTATATGATGGTAATTACATTTTATTCAATATAATTTTTTAATTTCCTATTTTAAATGTCTGTTATATAATATTTGATAGTAAACTTTATAAGTTTTAAAATTTTTTTTTTTTATTACCTCCCAAACTAAAGAACATTTATTATTTGATTTTGGTTCTGATTCATCTTTAGTTTTAATAACATCATCTTCCCACTTCATTCTATGTAACATCAATCTAAACATATACATAAATATTGTTAGTTACTTTGACTAAAAATATTTCATTGAATCAATTTAACAATTAAATAAACATGGCATCACCTTTTATACTTTTTTTGTTGTTTTGGACCACCTTCGACAATAACAACATTACAGTCCTTACATAAAATTACACAACCAGTCATAAATAGTTGTTTACTATTAGTTTCTATTTTATACTTTTTTGATGGATTACTGAGGTCTTTTATTCTAAAACATATACATTAAATTTATAAATAGTTATTCTAATAACTCTAATAGTAATAAAATTACCTATATATAGCAATATTAACACCTAATGTAGTATCTTCCTGCAACTTTCTTATTTTTTTATCACGTCTTTGTTCTGGATTTAATCGGCGTGATGCATTAGCTTCTTCATGAGCTTTTTGACGTTTTGCCATTTGTGCCCTTACATGGGATTCCATTTTAGTTGGATCTTGAACTGCTTCTGTTCCCAATACTCTCATTAAATTTGAAATACGAAGCTAAATTAAAATTTTATAAAATAAATTGAACCTGTAGGACAAAAATAATAAGAGGATTTATGGTTTATGATTTAAATACCTTAGGTTCAGCTGGAGGTTCTAAACCAAGTCTAATTTTTTCTTGCTCTTCTTTCCATGTTTCACGACGATTTTGACGACGTAGCTTCTTCCTTTCTTTTTTTGTTAAGAACACTGGCATAAAAACTGGTTTTAATGGATCAGCTGAAAATTATTTATTAAGCCATGTTTAATTAAAATGATCTAAATAAGAATACATTAAAATTTTAACTGTTTTACTCTTTTATTGGTTATATACATTAACATATTTATGCTTAAAATATATTATGTATAGTTTGAATAAAATGTATGTCATTTAAGCATAAAACATTTTTTCTGAACTAAGTACATCAGTTTATTTATATTTTTTTAATTTATTTATTTTTCAACCAAACCTAAAGATAGTTGTAATATTTATAAATATTAAAATAAATTGAGTTAGAAACTTAATGATAGGTTTTTAATTTATAGTCTTACTTGGTGGTCTCATTTGTAATGGATGTTCAACTAAGTGTGTTATGTTACTTCTTTTAAACTGAATTTCACCTTCCTCATTTAAATAACTAAAATTTGATACATTTATATAATAGTTAAACATTTAAGTAGATATATATGAATAATTATAAACTTACGATGCTCCATCCAAAATAACACTATCCCACCATTCAAAATCAGGACAATGTTCAGTTAATTGTTCTTCTTTGGGCACTAATAAAGCCATTTTTGTTACCGATGAAATGCCAGTTTTACGTGCAATTTGTGAAATTTCATTTTGCAATTTTTCTAATTGAGCCTATATTAAAAAATCGTAATTAATACATAAAATGTATATTTAGTATTAAAAAAAAAACTGATTTATATGAATTAAATATATATGTAAAAATCAGTAAAAATATTTTAATTAAAAACTAAACTAAATAAAATGAATTTATATTTTAAAATACCTTCATTCGTAAACGATCAGCAATTTGTTGAAATTTGCCAGGTTCGTGAAACTTTAATGATCGTTTTGTCCGGATATTTGTTTTTAATGTTAATCGTGGATCAAAAAACTTTAATTCAGAAGAATCATCATTAGATTTTTCACTAAATGTTTGTTTAAATTCTTCTCGTTTTTTTGCTCTAATATTGGCTTTTAATGTTGGTATAACTTGTGTTAACTGAACTTCTTTACCAGTAATATCAATTGTACGTCCTTCACTGTCAAGAATTAGAGGTGTTGGTTTTTCTGCAGATGAACTCAGAGTTTTGGGAACACTTGGAACTGTCTTTATAATACCAGTAGCTAACTTTTTTTGTATTTGAGCCTAAATATTCCAAAAATAAAAATGTAATATTAATATGTATTATAAATATTATAATCTAGACAGAATATTTTATAAACAAACAACAACCTGCAATTGAGCAATTTTAGCTTGCTTCTCAAAATCAGTCGTTATTTGTGGTTTTTTATCTTTGCCATTAGCATTTTTTTGAGTACCAGAAGATGGTATGGACAGTGCTTTTTTTCGCTCTTCAATCATTTTTTGTGCATTTAACATCATGTCTTTGATCTATTAAAGACAAACAAATTAATGAATTATTAAACATTGTAAAAATATAGGCAGGTACCTGTCCCATGGAAAGTGCTTCTTCTTTGACCACAGTTGTATCATCTTCTTTTTTACGTTTAATATTATTCTCATCATACTCAGTTTTAATAGTACGTTTTGTAGTTGCAGGGATATTATTAACCTTCATTGTCATTCCTTTAGCCAAATCAAATGCCTTATCAGTTAACGATAATGCCTTACCCGGATCCAACAGTGAAGACCGGAGTTTATCTAGAAGTAAGGGAAAATTAAGTTTTGTTTTAAAGAATAAAATAAAAACTTAGTAAACAATTGTTTGTAATTTCTGTATAATTAATAAATGGTAAAAATATTTACCAGCGGTTTTAAACTTGTCATAACCAGACGATAAGCAATGCATCAATGTGGTCACCAGAGACGGTTCTCTGAATCCTAAAAACTTGGACACAGTTTTCTCCAAATACGGTTTGATGTCTTCAACCTCTTTTCTACTTATTGATAATGCCATGTTTTTTTGTTAAAATATGATAGTATGAACTAATAAAATAGAAACAAAATAACTTATCCCCAGCGAATATTAAATAATGAAAAATAATAATAATTGAATGGTGAAAACTGAAAAACGTTTGTAAACGTTAAACCTTAGACTACTTAAACCTGCGGCAGGATTGGATAAGAGAATATCAGACATTTCAGTATCACTGTGAAAAGATTAAACAATAATACGAAATATAACTTATTAGGCCATGAGATGAAAAATCGGATCGTTATCTTTTGTTCTACAACGTAGTAGTTCCAAAATCAAGTTGTTCGAATTTAATTATCATTCGAAATGTACATTTATTTTATTCCTATTTCCTAGGCACAAACGTATTTAGAAGGCTAATAAGTAATAATAATAAAAAAATTATTAATATTTTTAGTGACCTTCCATAGGTAGATTAAAGGTGTTTTACTATATCATTTCATAGTAGAACTTTTACAATTTATAAATAAAAAAATTAATTCTGTATGTCGTATGATAGTATGATTAGGGCTGAAAAATATTAGCAAATGGCCGCTAAATTTCTAAATACGTCTCTGTTTCTACTAGTTTCTAGACAATTTGTCTTAACACTGGAGCAGACCACGTGTAAGCAACCGTGTATGGGAGCTGTGCAGTAATTACGATGAAATAAATAGATCAAAAAAAAAATTTCTAATTGTTTTTAAATTAAAAATATTTCTTAATGTTGACTTACAAGTACCAGGACAACTTACGGTCAGGTTTTATAGTTATATAAAGCATTTATAACTATGGTATGTTTTACACTAATGCGCACAAAATAAAAAAAACGTTTCAATCATAAGAAATATTTTTTAATTTCATTAATCTTGTTAAATTATAAGTAGGAAAGCTGAAAGTTGAATTTAGTTCTAATGACGCAAAACAAATAGGTACATTTTTTAATCTAAAACGTTGAGAAATTGACATTAACATTTAAAATGTTTAAAGCAAAGCATTGTCAAAACGTCAATAATGAAAATATTACATAAATTGACAAAGAACAAGTAAGAATGCTCATCGAAGAATCCAGATAATTCATTTTACATCAATTCCATCTTAGTCATAATGTAAAAGTTAGCTCAAGAGTTTGATGAAAGTTCAGACAAAATTCGAACTTAAAAATCAGTCAGAAAAACCTACAGAATCTGTCCCGTGCTAACAAGCACTTTTTTTTTTTTATTCATGAATAACTTGAAAGTATATGCTCATATACTCATGATTTTTCAACAAAACCTTGAAAGCATAAAACCCTATGAATACATATACCTTATGAATACTATGCTGAAGCCAAGACGTAAATTTACTATCATACAATAATATTTTTATGTTTTAAGTACGCCGGAAATATAATAACAATTATATATAATATATAAACATTAACAATTCAAACCTTATTGTAAGGAAATCATAGCTACCAATAAGTGAGACTTTAAACACCTACAGCCTACAGGCAGTTAACATATACCAATACATGTCATTCAATGAAATTCAATTCAGAATACTGGTGATAAACAAAGAATAGGTATTATGCTTTAAGGAAATGAAGTCAAAATTATAGCTCTTTGGACAATTAAAATAACAATTTAACTTTAGTTTACTATGATCAGTTTTAATATACGCATGCAAAATATAGTTGGTCACTAAAAGAGAAAATATAATAAACATTTGTCTTTTTTTTTTTTAAAAAAGATCTTAGATGAATTTATAGATCAATCCAAATAGAATCAAATGAATAAGTTAACCTCAACTTAAATTTTTTATCCAAATGTAATTTATTACTTTGAATTAAAAATAATATTTACAATAACAAATAGGGGAAAGATATGTAAGGGCTAGTCATAACTCATAAACACAAACCTAACATTACATTATTTAATACTTTTTTTTTTAGTTTCTTCATAAAAATAAATCATAACAGTTATAATATGAACTTTAAAACATTAATACTCTAAGTGAGGCTTGATTATTTCAATTAATTTGAAAAAAAAAATCTTTGATCCTATGTTGCAATATTAACTATTATCTTTTAAATACATTTTTTTTTTTTTGAATCTTCTGACAATACAGTATTTTTTTTAAGTTTTAACAAAAATAAAATAATTATGAATATGATTTTTTTTAAATAAAAATGATTTACAATCTATACAAAATCTTGGAAATCTTATAAATTTCAAACATAAATTAATACTCCAAATTTCAAAAAAAAAAAAAAAATCCTATTAAATTATTATTGGTTATCTTTCAATATGGACATAATTTTCTTGTGAGCATATTCTAAGCACTTTTCAAATTCAGGACTACAGCCATATTCTGCAATTGTACTAAATCGGTAAGTACGAAAAATATTTTCTTCAACAAAAGTTACAGCATTCATTAGTGGACACAATATAACTTTTGTATGATCTGTGAAGTTTATCTAATCACAATTAAAATAAAATTTCAATATTTATTTTTTATATAATATGTGTATAAATTATTTTCATTATATACTTGTAAAGTCCCATTCGTGAGTTGCAAAATAACTGATGAAGTAGATCTATACCATTGATACAAATATGGAGTACGACTCAATTGATCAGCATCTTTAGCTAACATATCTGCTCCAGCTTTAACGAGATGATCATTCATATACCGCCTAAAGTACATTAATAATTTCATTTTCTTTTCCAGTGTTGGAGGCGTATGATCAATAGTATAGTATTGTTCAGAGCCATTTCTTTCTATGTAGTGAACATCCCTAAAATATTTATGTTTCGTAAATAAATTTTAATGATATACCAATTTAAAAAACACCTTACTTTAAATTAGCCAATAGTACAATTCGAGTAAAATCATTAAACATGACACCCACACAGTCATCAGATAATTCATAACCAAATCCATATTTATCAGAATAGTCAACCCATTTACTGACCCAAATTAAAGGTTGAGCAACTGGATCAGTAGTTTCTTCTAAAATGAATAATTATAAACTATTAGTGTCGCAACTACATTTTTGGGGCTTATGTGTATGGGTAAAACAAGGAGTCTTCAACTACCACCAACTCATTAAAATTTATAAATTAACATCTTTATTATATATAATATGATAAATAGCACTGATTAATTTTTATTAAAAAGTAGAAAAGTGACAAGATATTTTAAAAAGTGAAAAAGTTACTTTTTGGGGGGGGGGGGGGGATAAAGTAATTAGTTATCACTAGGGCCCAGAACTTGATGATTTAAAATAATATATAAAAAAAAAAAAATTAAATGACACAAAAATGTTAAAAAATGTATATTTTACTGTAAAAATAATAAATATTGTTTTTAATTAAATTATAATTATTATTATAAATTTATTAAATAAAATTATATATTATACACACCAATTAAGTTGTTTTTATTGTAGTTTTTAAAGGTAAAAAAAAAATGTTAGTATACACTTAGTCATGTTCCTCATCTAGTAAGTAGTGGGTGTGGTGTTAACGGTATAGTAGGCACAATTTCTTTAAAAATATTTTTTTTCCATTCAAAATGAGTTGATCAATTTTTGGGAAATATTTCTTAATTTCCTCTGTTACTCTATGTGGTACATATGCTTTGTATGTTACATGCAACATTTAGAACAAAATACTTAAAATACATTTTCATGCTTTCGCCATGTATGGCGTGGTGTCACTTAATAAAAAGCAATATGTTGTTATGTTTTATTCCATTTGGCCAAATGTGAAGTATTTTATCAAAAAGTTTAGAAATAGTGCAATGGTTGACTTTTTATAGAACATCGGTGTGAATAAGAAATTGGTAACGATAAAGATAATGAACGCCAATAATTGACAAGCTAATTGAAACTGAATGTGTTACAATAAAGTGTAACTTACAACAATAAAATGCAAATCTATGTAAAAAAAAATGCACCAAAAATACAAAAATTTAATTGTTAAGCACCAAATTCTATAAAAATGTAAAAAATACAAAATAAAAATTGTACCATTAGATTCAAAAATTCATAAATCAAATTTCTATAGAGGTGAGCAATACATTAGACTTTAAAGTAAAAGAGAAAATATGCAAATGCATCAAATTTCGGGCTCTAGCAATCACACGTTTTTTAATTATTTTAAATTCTAAGAATCTTTAATTCACAAATTTAAACTTATATTTAAGCTAATAATTAAATAATATGAAAATAGATTTTTGTCATGTTTTATACTTCAGTTTCAATAATGTCATTAAATAAATAATAGATGATTAAAATATTGTTTATACATGTCCTGTGAAGATTTCAAATAATGGAAGAAGTATCAACAGGACTTTTTTTTTAGAAATTTTCTAAAAACTAAAAATTTGTTATAAATCATGAGGTTAATAAAAATAAAATGACATTTTAAAACAATATTTTAATTTAAAACTGGTTGATTTAACACTAATTATTAAAAATTAAATTTGTTTGGTATCTGTTTTGCTCTTTTCAGTGATCGTGCTTTGATCATAACAAGGAGTTAATTTTTAATAAACCCGTAGATGAACAGTTACAGTACCCATACTATTGAAAATAATCACTGTTTAAAGATAAAAATGTATAATCCTGATAATAAAATTTTATTATTTGAATACTTCTTGGAAAAAATTAGCTTTAACTACTTTTAACAACTATTATTATAGATAATAATATTCCTTTCTTTGATTAATAAAAACATAGTAAATTAACAATAGATTATAGGAACCTTAGTGAGTTATAAAATTATAAAATTTAAAAGACAGAGGGGCCAGTGTGTGGCGCACACTTTGTACACCTGATAGTTATGATAGTGTTAAGTATACTAATACATACGCAATATAATCTAAAAATTCATACCCATATTTTTCACTCTAATTGTAGATAGTTTACACTTTAATAAATTTCCCAATTCTTTTTCAAGAGAAATCATATAATCTTTACAATCAATTTTAGATACACCATTTCCAATAGGTTTGCTCGGCATATTTAACACTGGTGATTTAAAACATGGGTCTTGAGGTTTTGAAGCAATTTTAGTTTTAGTAACAGAGAGTTTTGGACTGTTGAGTTCTAAAATTTGAGAAATTAAAATTGAAAAAATATACAAGTCTTTTAAAAGCAATACATTTAATAATTACCAATGAGTGGTCTACGATTAGAAATTGATTCTCTATAGTTAATAGAATCAAAACGAGGAGTCATAGTCAGACAAGATGGTGGCAACTTTTTAGGCATATAACCAGTTGTAAAGAAGTCAGCTTTCATTATTTCAGAAACTAAAGGACGTTTTTTAGGGTCAAATTGAAGCATTTTTTCAATAAGAGTACTGGCATTCTTATTTAAATGAGAAGGTATATTATAATCACATCGCGTAATTCGAGCATATGTTTCTTTCAAAGAATTTGTTTCAAATGGTGGTTTTCCAACTAATAGTGTATACCTTAAATATAATACATTGTAACTATTGAAAAATATTATTTTAGATAACATACATAATACAACCAATAGACCATACATCCACTTCAAAACTATGACCAGTTTTTTTAAGAATCTCAGGAGCAATATAGTTTGGAGTACCGCATAATGTTCTAAAAATAATTACTTTCATTATTTTTTTTAAATACATTAATACTTATTGAAATAATTGATTATTTAAAAATTATAATCACATATTTTTTTTTTTTAAATAAAATTAAAATTAACTATAATTACTTTTTACGTTGTCCATCATATTCAATTTTAGCAGCTAAACCCAAATCCCCTATTTTAACTTCCAATTCATCATTTAAGAATAAATTTCCTAATTTTAAATCTCGATGGATTATATTTTGTTGATGTAGATATAATGTACCTTCAAGAATTTGATACACATAGTAACGAGTTTCAGGTTCAGTAAGTGTTTTTCTTCTCCTAAATTATAAATTATTTTACTATTACTAGAACTGCAAATTCATTTTTGTTACACATATATCATAAATTTAACTTTTAAAGTTTATTCAAAAAGTTGAATCAAAATACTAACTGACATACATTTTTATTAAAAACAAAAAATAAATAAATCGAGTGCGTTAAGTGTTAAATTACTCACTTATGAAGCTCCATCATTGATCTTTTTCGACAAAGTTCCAAGACAATGTAAACAAAATTATTATCCTCAAAAAAACTATGAAAAGAGACGATATTTTTGTTTTTCAATACTTTGTGAATAAATATTTCTTGAGTCATTTTATCTTTTTGATTATTTCTCAAAAGATATTTTTTAGACACAATTTTTCCTGCAAATACCTCCTTGGTATTCATATCAATAATTTCATAACATTTCGCAAAACCACCCTGTAACAATTAATAAAAAAACTAGTTATAAATGAGTATTGATAAATATATTAATATACATCACAAATTATAATAGTGCAGACTTGATAATACAGCAATACATAGGTTCAAGTACTTAGTGGTACTAAAAAAATGGTAATTTTGAGAATGTCTAGAATAGGATTATGTGTAGATACATGAAATACAGAGAAATATTATATATTTTGATTGATAAGAGGATGCTATAAAAAATAAAAAGTAGATTTTATAAAGTAGTTTTGAGGCAGTAGATATAAAATACTGAATGGATGTAGCAGAAATGAGACTACTAAAAAAAGATGAATAGATTTACTAAAGAGAATAGAATTAAAAATTAATTTACTAGGAAAATAATAGGAATTGTAAACAAAATGAGGAAAAAATGGTTTGGTTGTGTTGTAGAGGTAATTTGATTGCTATCGGAATAAATGCAGAAAGAAGAGAAAACAGAAGATTGAAGAAATGCATTGTCAAAATTGAAAATTACATGAAAATGCCTGGAATGAATAAAGATGAGGAGAACAGATTCCTTCAGTCTACAGACGTAAATGGTAAAAGTAGTAAATAATTCCATATAGTTAAAGTGAAGGACAAAGAAAAATAAGAAGATACAAAATCATTAATCATAGCACTATAATATAATATACCATATTTACCCTTTTTCACCTCAATAAATATTATTTTTATATTATATTTTCTATTTAGTACAAATAATTTTAAAATAAGAAATTTGTATTATTATCTTAAACATTAATACTTTATAGTTATAAGAAATATACATAAATACAAAAAATTAATATAATATTTTAATTGTTTTTCAATAAAAATGATCCTAATAACTATTATAAATATAGACAAGTTTGGATAAAAATTTTTTGATGCCTATAAAAGTATTAGACATTTAAAATAAATTTATAAAAAATCAGAAGTGGAACTAAACTCGACACACTGTTGTCCAATATGCCATATCATATACAAAACACACAGTGGAGGAAAAATAAAACTGAAATACAACACTAAGTATATTCGATATTATTTTTTTTTTTATAGTGTATTACATTAGTCATTTGTCATCATTGTTACCTTTCCTAGAAAGCTGCATTTCTGATACTTCTTTTTGTTCTTAGTGTCAATTATTACATCCGGAATTCTGACGTCGTCTTCCTTAGATTTGGACATAATATTAGTGGTTGATAATAGTTATTAAATTATACTCTGTTGTTATAGTTGAACTAGAACTGCAACTGGTAGTACACAAATTTTTAAATATTAATATGTTGTGTAAGATTTGCTCATAGAAAGAATCTACTATCTAGTATTTACGTATGAATGGAGAATGACTAAATAAAGTTTTGTCACGAGATATGACATAAAAATTGAAACGCATGATAAAACCTTTACATTACAAAGTAATAAGTATAACAGCTTAACAGTAACAAAATACAATATTACTATACTATTGGTATGTTTCAGTATTTATTTTTTTTTCTTAGGTACCAACAATAAAAATATATATTATCAGATTTCCACAAAATAGAACAAAAATATACCCAACAACCCAACACACCCATTATCTAACTGACAAGTGACAATCACCCTCAAATAATAAATAAATATAAAAATGTAATAAAATGTCAAAATGAATACAAAATGACAGTTTATAATTATCTCCAAGCGTCAGTGTTGCTCCATATACGTTTGAAATGAAACGTAACATTTTAATTGTAACATGTAAGAGATTGTCATTTATACCGGTGCATTACTGACAAGGTGAAAGATGAACTCATAGAAGATCTTCTAAGACCGTGGTCATTAAAATAACCTATTTATTGAGAGAATAGTTCCAATTCGCGTGACCGCGTACGATTGACAGCTGAAGTCACGGACGTAAAACTTGCCTCTCCATTCGAGAACACTAAACAACAGGTAGTAACTGGTAGCCGGTAGGTAGGTGGGCCCTATATATTATGTCTTGTAATGTGTAGAAACGATGATTATTCGTCCGTTGCGCAAGCGCAATAATGCAACACTACTCTCTCGGTGAATAGAGTGAACTTGGGCTTTGGGCTGGTCGCTGATTACACCAAAATTGAAAAAATCTAATATCCATATCATTCATAGTGTATTAGTATATGAGTGTTAAAAAAAAAAAACCGTAATTTAAAATATTTTTTCTTGTACCTACTTTCAATAATTAAAAATTTAATATTTTAATATAGATTTTTTTCCTTAATAACTATTAATTGAAATGATTTTTAAACTTATGTTTTAATTAAACTATTTTAGTGATATAGTTGTAATTGATGTAATTATTTGTTATTGAAAGTACTATGAAAATTATTTTAAATAAAAGTATCACATTAGTGGCGCAATCAGAATTTTTTTAAGGGAGAGAGTCCAAAAATATAATTACTTTAAAGTAGCAGCAAATTTAATTATTATTTTACTTTTTGATTAATGTAAACATTGTAATTATAATTTAAAAAATAAAAATATATACAATGTGTCAACGTGTATACTGCTGTAAAAATAAAATTACGGTATTTTAAAAATATACGACACGGTTCGAGGGGGGATTTGGCATCTGGACCCGGGGACCCTCCCCTGGTTACGCTATGTACCACATTCTTTCTTGCAAACACTCATACACTAACTGATGTAGATTTTGATGTTCCTAATCTTGAGTAGGTTCATTAATCATTATTCATTTTGATTTGTCAACAATTTATTAATATTTGTTCGCAACATTATGAAAAAAAAAATTGATGTGCAGAAAATTTTTAAAAATTATTGTTTAAGACCTATAATATCTATGGAAGTAATTTTATTTAAAAACATTTAAATTTTAAATATAAACAATTAATTATTTTCATATTTCAAAAATTTATCAATATATTTTGCATTTTGGTGTTGATATCATCACCAATTATCCAATTATTTATTTTCTTAATTCCTATTAATGTATTTCATTATTATTAAGTTTAATTCTTATATTATTTATTTTTTTAATTTAAATATATATATTATTATTAATTTACATTCAGTTTTAATTATAAATAATAATAATACATAGTCACAGAGCCACATAGGTATATTAAAGATTAATATAGTGTATCATGTATCTATTTTGTTGTATTTTACTTTGATATTAATGAATAATCATACAGCAAATAATATATATATTTTTATTGTTTTTAATAAAAAAAAAAAAAAAATATGATATGACAAAAAGCATTAAACCTTAAAAAATAATGAATTTTTATGAAGATTTCAATGGGTATAAATGGTATAATACAAGTCCTGTAATACAATTACACAATACATTTTTTGCCCTTACGGAGTGGGAGTAACTCTTATCACAGCGACTTGTTATCTATTTACGAGTGATCAGTGATCGCTCCAGTAAATTATTCTTTATCTGGATATTTGAAGAAAAATTTACTGCTTCGTGATATAGTAAACGTTATAAATCGTGATTTCTATAAAAAAATTTAGCGAGCACTATATAGGTAATATTTTTTCTACATCGAAATTGCGGTGAAAAAATAAAACGCTTTTTCTTTTCTTCATGATTTCGGGAAGCGCGGGATTTTAGAGGACGTTGACTTCAGAGATCAGAGTTCAGATACTTATCAGTGTTCGGTAATTGTTATCATCAAGTTTAAGCATGACCGGACCGGTGGCCACATGGGTTACGTTCTCAAAACGTGGACAGCGGCCAATATACGTTCGTCGTCATCGTCGTTGTACTTATAAAAATTAATTGGTATTTTCTAATATTTACTGTTTTGTTGACACGACGAGTACTTACAATGTCGACGATTTTACCGCCTGCTAGTAAAACAGTCTTGATAGGTCATCCCGATTATCAATCGCTCTTGGACGGAGTACGACTCATTAATTTGGGATTGACGAAAAAAGAAGACACAACAGCGGTTGGGTTAAAAAGTAAAATTTAAAACACCTTTGGTGCCATTAGTTCAACTAATGTTTGAAAAATTAAATTTCAGATTTGGAAGTTGATAAAAACTATTTGTTGGGCTTGCATTGTACTACATGTCAAATAGCGTTTGAACTTTCAGAAGAACACAGAGCACACTATAAATCAGATTGGCATCGGTACAATTTAAAGCAAAAAATACGTAACAGACAAACAATTGACGAACCAAAGTTTCATGCCCTAGAAAGTATTAAAAATTTTCCATTTTAATTCTAATAATAATAATTATTTATCTATCATTTTATTTTTTTATGGTCATCTATCTATATTTAAATTATTTGCTGCTGGATAGTCAATAAATAGTACTATATTATAATTTTAAATACATTGTATATTTATAATTATTTAGATAAAGCTAATGACAGCTCATCCAGTTGTGAAAGTGATGATGAGATCAATGCTTACAATTCACATTTTTCAATTGATTCAAAATTATTTTTTGAAAATAATTTTGGTAATGCTTTTTCTGTATACAGATGTTTATTGACCAATAAAAAAGTAATAAATTACTTTATAATATAAAAACAAAGTTAAAAATAATACTTTATTAATTTCTGTCAATAGGAAATTCCAAACGAAGAAATTGTGATTAATTCATTGAAGTCTATTAGCACTAAACCTATGTGGTTTATAATTATGTTAGGTGGTGGTCGTTTTTCAGCAGCTATATTTAAAGGTATAGCAGAATGTTAATTTTATACGTTATGAATTTATGATTGATTTTTATTTTTTATTTATTTTAGGAGAAGAAGTAATTGTTCATAAAACTTTTCATTCATATACTGTTAGAGCAAAACAAGGTGGTTCTCAAAGTACACAAGATCGATCAAAAGGGGGATGTAAAAGTGCCGGTGCTAGTTTACGTAGATATAATGAAGCATCCCAATTAAAAGTAAAGTTAATTACCCAAGTTTAATTTTGAATTTAATTAAATGTTATATATATCTAATAAGTTTTTATTCAGCATATTCAAGAAATATTATCATCATGGCTACATCATATAAAATTATGCAACCTTATATTTTATCGAGCAATTGGTCCAAACAATCGAAATATTCTATTTGGTGGTTCAAATCCATTAATAAATAAAAATGATAGTAGATTATGTCAAATACCATTTGGAACCAAAAAGGCTACTTATGCAGAAGTTCAAAAAGTTTATAACCAACTATCAACAGTTTTAGTATATGGTAATTATCAAAATATAATTATGAACTAATAGTTGTAAAATAATAACTTTGAATGGTATCTACTTTCTTGCAGATTCCAAAGATATTATTAATAATTCTATTAAAAATTATGTATTAAAGTTATTTAAAAAAAGAAAAAATACAGAATCTAGAACAAAAAAAAATGTAGAAAAACCTATTAAAGACATTCAAAATTCAAATGAAAAAATTTCTGAAAATACTCAACTATCTTCAAAATCAGGTAATATATAATTTATTTTTATTTAAATTATTTATACTATAAAAATATGATATTTCTTCTAACTTGAACTTCAATTAATATAGATACTAATATAATTTTAAAACAAGCTATATTAATTAATAACTCATTTTCATTTATTTATTATTTTATTGATATATTGTATATTTGATACATTCTGAGTAAATAAACATTGCATTATATGCAAAGAAAAAAACCAATTAAATTTATATATTAAAATGCACATTTTGTTTTAATACAAAATTATTTTTCTAATAATTTATTATTGGAAAATTTTATTTTTTGTCATGTCAATATATTTTATTTTGGCTTTTTAGATTCTAGTGAAAATGAAAATGAAAATAAAATTGTAGAATCTTCACAAAATAAAATATTATGTGAGAATAATGGCACTTTATTATCAAATGACTCGAAAAATAAGAAACGCAAAAAGAAAAAGAAGAAACCCAAAAACACAATTGTTGAGAAATGTGCTGAAGTAGAAGAAATAAAAAAACTTTTATTGCAAACAATTGAAGATAAAAATTCTGAAGCTTTAAGTAAATATCTTTTATTGGAAGATGAAAATAGTTCCATTTCAAAAGAATATCTAGAAAAAAGTTTAAACGAACCTATTGATGAATTAAATAATACTATGCTTCATTTAGCTTCTACCTACTGTCTGCATGATCATATTTAGTAAGAAATTGTATAATATTCATAAATATTATTATCACTATAAATTGTATTTTTATGCTTAATAGCTTACTTTTACAACATGGATCAAATCCAATTCATAAAAATAAAGACGCTAAAACACCATATGAACTAGCACCAGATAAGTCAACTAGAAAAGTTTTTAGAAAATTTATGGCTGTTTTCCCTGATAAATATGATTATGATAAAGTAAATATAAATTTTTATTATTTTCATGGTGACTGAATGCAATATTTTGGTTATGTTCTTTGCAGTCTCGTTTACCAGGACCATTAACCGAAGAGTTACAAGAGGAATTGAAAGAAAGAAAAAAAGCTAAACAAAAACGTGCCAAAGAAAGAAAAGTGATTGAGGAATTAAAAAAAGAAGAAGAAATTCAAAAACAGAAATTTCTTCAATTATCAGATCGGGAGAAAGTAATATATTGTTTAAAAAAATATATTAAAACAAAATTTACTATATTTTTTTTTTTAATTTAATTTTAGTGTGCATTAGCAGCAGAAAAACGATTTATGGCAGTTCAAGGGACATTTAAATTATTGCGATGCTTCTATTGTGGCAAAAATATAGAAGAAAAGTATCCTTTTGAATACATGGATTACAAATTTTGCAGTGTGCAATGTGTTAAAAATCATAGACAAAAAAATATTGTAAAC